CCTCGCCTCGCCTCGCCTCTGCCCCGGCGGCGCGGAAGCGAGCGCCGGTGTGCCCGGTGACTTGGGCGGGAGGGCAGGAACGGCGGGGCCGCCGTCGGTCTGGCGGGGGTCAGGCCTCCTGTTCCGCAGCCAGAACGTCGGGCTGGGCCGCCCCTGGCCGGGAGCTCGGGTCCTACAGCCTCGGCGTGGAGGAGAGCGGGGGTTCTCCTTTCCTTGGCCCTTACTGCCGCGGAACCGGGGGGGGCCCGGCCTGTGGTAGCGGCGCCGCCGGAGCGAGGCGGGAGCCGCTCCCCGGGCAGCCGGTCGCCGGGCGGCACGGGGAGAGGAGATGAACGCCGCTGCGGTGGCCTCCAGCCAAGGACGGGGTCTCTTTCTCTTGCAGTTCCTGACAGAGCTCACCAGACTCTTTCAGAAGTGCAGAACGTCGGGGAGCGTTTTCATAACGCTGAAGAAATGTAAGTTTTAAGTCCCTTACTAGGGTAAAGAGGCGTTCACCTAAATCGAACTTAGTGTTGGTAGCATGTATTTTAAAAGACACAGTTGTAATTCGGAGTGTCGGAAAACAAGAGTAAGTCGCAGGGACAAATCAGTCAGCTGCAGTGCTAATAACCTTGAAGTAAGAAAGACTGTATTTCAAACTGCAGGAAATATTGGGATTTTCTAATTAATGAAGAATAATTGGAAATTCTTAAGTGTCTATAGAAGGAGAATTCTAGCGTTGCTTCTGTATGCTTATGTTTCGCTGATTTCTGGCTAGCTGGCACTACTTGAGAAGTTGAGTGTCCTAGGCTGCAGTTTGATGTGCATTTAAAACATACTGCTGCTGAAGCAGGCAGTTCATACAGTGTGTCAGGGCGAGGATTTACTTTTTTTTTTTTTCCCCCCAGCAGATGTAGTTTATGGAACAGATCCTTCTGGGGTTACAGAGGAACGGGTTTGTGAACAATTTGGTAGCAATGTCAGTTCAGATGGCCTTAAATTCCAAGGTGTTCTCCTTGGAGATCTCCTCATGAGCAGCTTTTAACACCTCTTGTCAGGAGGAATCCAGTGATTTTAGTGAAATATGAACAAACATTCTCTGTCTTTCAATACAGATGATGGCCGAACAAAACCAGTCCCACGCAAAGGCCACGTAGAAAGTTTTGAACCAGCAGACAATAAGTGTCTTCTAAGAGCAACTGATGGAAAGAAGAAAATTAGCACAGTGGTAAGCGACAACATTCGGTTTGAAAGATTAGTGGCCCTACTTGTCTTTTAGTTAATGCCTCATACTTTAAATGGTTTGTCTTTACATGAATTTCATGAGCGCTACCCTCTTCGTTCCAGAGAAACCATACGGTAGCTAAACACACAGCTGAAGTTGGGATGCTGATGTGTTGCACTTACCTGAAGTCTTAATGCTCACACTGAACTTTACAGATGGGACGGTAGTTGATAGTTTTGCTCTGTGTGCTGGATTTTGCTTCAGAATGGTATTGCAGGACAGCAGAAAGGGACTCTGACTGTTTTCAGCAACCTTGGCTGTTGTGTTTTGAGTCAAGTGAAATTGTTTAGGGGGAAGGGGGAAACTCCTTCTAGAGACATGGGCAGAAGGACACAGGGCAGGTATGGAACCTGCAAGTGTGAGGACAAATGGCGTGGCTCCAAGAAGAAAGGTGTTGCACACCCACAGTCAAGCCTCAGGTGACAAAGAAGTAGTTTCCCATAGGCCTCGATGGACTTACTGAAGGTTCTTACAACTCAGGAAATAACTGAATGTTCCCAGACTGTGAAACAGTAGGAAAGGGACCCTTGTTTCCTGGCAAGAATGTGTGAGCATGGGTACACTTTTCTGAGCCTTAATCTTGCTCAGCATACCTGTTTTTTTCCTCATTGACAGAGCTATTTGTATTTCAGGCAATGTTAACTAGAAGCTGAAAACCTGATGTGTGTTTACTTTGAATGAGAGATTGGGAAAGGCATTAGCTGACTTTAGCTCTCCTCTGTGATGTAACGCAAGGAAAAATGTTACTTTGAGAAATAGTTGAGAGAATCCAGGCTGCAACATATTTGTATGGCCCTACAAGTAAACAAAACCTTCCTTAGAATGTTTCTTCACATTCTTCCCATTTGAAAACACACAGATTTGGGATGAATGGCCTCCAGAGGATTTTGTTAATTGAATAAGGAGTGCTTTCAGTTTTCCAAATCAGTGAAGTCCTACGACATGTCAGTACAGCCTGCCTACCACTGAATGTGATGAGTTGATCCAACTGCTGCTAAAAAGAGTAGGTGGTCACTGCTGGGTTAAACATGTACTGATACTTGGTTTGTAACAGAAGCCAGTGTTTTCTTGGTTAACCTCCAGTGTTACTTTTGTAGGTGAGCTCAAAGGAAGTAAATAAATTCCAGATGGTAAGTTTTGTATGCCTTTTATCTTCATTTTCTGTAGGTATTGGGGATTGGTCAGTAGGAAGTACTGGACAGCTGTGAATGGGTTGGTTCATTGCTGAACTGCCACACAGATTAACTTTAGACTACCCATCTGTCTGCATTTGTTTAAAAAAAGAAAAAAACCCAAAGCTGTTCTATTTCATCTAACTTTCTGCATTGGTTTAGGAACAATAGTTTCCCAGCGTAGGGTGTAAGAGCATGATTCTTTAACTGAGAAAATGCAGATACCTTTCCATTAGCAATATGTAAAATGTTATCTCTAGTATATTGTCACTTAAGTATTTGTTCTTTTAATGGTTCCAATTGTTGTTCCAGGCATATTCAAATTTGCTGAGAGCTAACATGGATGGCTTGAAGAAAAAAGACAAGAAAAGCAAAAACAAGAAGAGTAAAGCAACACAGTGATGGAACAGTGTCCTACCATCACTATATAACGGACTCGAGCCTTGCTCAAAGCAAAGTCCATTTCTTTTTGAGTTACCACTTGTCTTTGGCTTTCCTTCCAGCAGGATACTGGGATGCAATCAGTACTTTTGTTTAATCTGAGAGCAGAAGGTGCTTTCTATGCATTGTTGTATGGCAGGAGTATTTACAGGGTTATACCGAAATAGCTTTACACTCAGCTCTCAACTAGTTTTGTACTTATACTACTGCTTGTTTTGTTATTATACAAGTGGGCAGTGTAAAAATCTGTTGTGGGGGGTGGGTAACACAGGGTGAAGAGAATGTACTGTACCAGGAGCAAAGTAAGACTGGAGCAGGAGTCTCAGTGACAGATGCCCAGTTTTATAGAAAACCCTCAGTAGTACTAGGGAAAGTGGGTGCCAACATATTATCAGAAACACAGCTTTACTGTTTCTGTCTTATTTTGAGGGACATGTCTACATGATCCAGTGCAGATACCCCAAAGGCAGCCAGCACAGTGCTTGAGCTCTTAGCAGAGCCGGGCAGCTGTGCCTTTGATCCATGCTGATCCAGCTGTGCTGACCCTGGCTCAGGGTGGGGGGAGGGTAGGACTCTGCATCATGTTCCCTTCAGACATGGCTTAAAAATGCTCATGTCACCTAAACTTTTTTTTTAAAGCTTCATCCTTCAGTATATTCAGGGATCTGAATTTCCCCATGTTTCACATCTTAAAGTAGCTCCTTCATATTAGCAGATGTAAAAGATGAATACTTAATTGTTCCTATTAAACACCATGAGAAATGGATTTGGTTGTAATGACTGCTGACTTGTCTTGATGAATTGCTAGGAATGGTATGGTTATCTGTGCCTTTAGGACTGATTCCCTTGATCCTTTGTGTGGTGCTGTTAACAACTTTCACAGTTCTCAGAAGTTCTTGGGTTTGTCTTTCAAGTTACCTCTCTACCTATTTTAACTTTGCCCTCCTCTTTACTACAAAAAAAGGGCAGAAAAAAGGAAGTAGGTCTTTCTTAATGCAGTGAGCCTGCAGTGCTCAAGGCAATCATTTGAGTTAAAGAAACAGGGGTAAGCTGTTTAAACAGAAGGTAACAGGTGGGGAGGGAGGGTAAACACCAGTATAGTTCCAGAAATCCCTAGCTTTTTTGCATATTCAGTATTACAAGTAGTTTAATATAAAATATAATGCATAGTTAACTATGGCTGCTGTAACTCATCTTCAGCTTTGCTCAGCTTCACCTTTCCTGATGGAGTTGTGTTACAGTTTAGCTTCAAGAAGATAATGACAGGATTCCCATCATTACTATGACTTTTAACTTCAAACTTAATCTGACAACCCATGTGAAGAAAGCTAGTTCAAAAATTTGGTTATGTCTTTAGCACATGCAGTTACTGTTTCTCTTAAAAGTCTTAAGGTTTAGGTCCTTTAGGTCTGAAACAAGTTTTTCTCCATTGGGTCTTATTTCATCTCCCAGGAAGCTGCTGCTTGGTTTGAATGCAAAAGTACAGGCATGACAAGCGTAGGCAGCCAGGCTTGCAACAATTCTCACAGCTTCAAGTCTGCCATCTTTTATATAGAAATTAAAACAGTAGGTTAAAAAACAAACAACCCACAAAAAGCTTGTAACATGTATTTCAAGAAGCAACCTTTTATTACATAAAAAACCCTTTAAAAGTAGTTTAAAAGAGTTGAAGATAATTCATCCTCGCTAATCCTTGAACTGAGTTTCTCATTTCATTACTACTGTTGCATGTTGACATAAAAGGCATTCTGAAACTGCATTTTAAAAAAAAATATTTTTACACCTGCACAGCTGGTATCTTTCATGACGTAAGGGACAAGAATTACATGATAATATGTATCTGTGGCTGTAGTCAGACTTGCTCCTTAATTGCCTATAAAACATTTATTTCCACTTTTTGACATAAAATTAGTTTTATATTACAGATGAAATTCAGTCTGGACCCATAAAAAGGCCTTAGTTGCCTGTCTTGCATTATTACAGCTTTTTGAAATTCCTTTTGACGAAACACTGTTGTCTGTTAGTAAAAGCATCCCATAAAAGATGCTTTAAGCATTAAAACAAAACCTTATATTCGTCTCTGTAACTGTACAGGATAAGCGCTGGAACCCTGCAGAGGGAAGGAAAAGAGAGAACTTTTAAGCTTTTAAACTGCAGGTTCAAAACCTACATTACCCGTGGCAAATCTTAGCAATATGCTAACGGCAAAAATTCAGTAGAAAAGCAGTAAGTTGTAGTTCCTTTGGCTGCAACTGCAGTTTTCCCCTTAATTCTCTTTCCATTTATCTAGCCTGTTCAGTTTTCATTCAATGATCTGAAGGCTTATGGCTAAGCAGGCATCAAATGGGAAAGGAAGGCTTCATCAGGACTGCATTACCTTCCCACCCAATGTTGTATGGAATATTACTTGTATGTAGTAATTGTGTTCTGTTGCTCACAGCCTTGCAAGCCACAGGAAGAAAAAAAAAGTTTTACTTGATGTTTAGTTGCCTCAGTTAACATTAGCAAACCTGAAGCAATTTTGGTGCATCTCCAAGAAAAAGTAAATTTTTAGTCTCATTTAAAGGTTAAGTAGTACCTTCAAGCTGAACATAGGTTTAAGAAAATACATTATAAAGGAAACCCACAACAGGACATAAAATAACCCAGGTCTCACCTAACTGTACCAATACATGCAACAGCTGAAAATTTGAGGCTTAGAACTAGGTATGTCCAGGCTATCTGTTTAAGCCTTGCCAGAATCCAACAAGGAGGCTACGAGTTGAAAATAAATGTTTTTATGCTTAGAAAACACAAATGGGCCTTACTGTACATGTTGGGAAAGCATGCATCATGTTTGCTTAAAGCTGGGCAGTCTATCAGCTCTGCCAGATTCCCGTTGTATTCCTTCAAAGCAGGAGGAATTAAATGTGGTTGTGACTTTTAAAAGGCAAGCTGAGTCTCTCCCATGAGAACAGAGGGTTACTATGTAGTAGAATAGCAGTATACCTGAATGTATATAGTTGTTTGCTATTCTGTCTTATGAACAAAGTAGCATATGAGATAACAGTGGGAATACATTTTTGAAAAAACTTATAAAAATGAAGAATGTGCATGACCAAGAATTTACATTTTGCCACAAGTGACGATTAGATAACCAATAAACTCTTCCCATAGTACTCGAGGTACTATACACATTTCCTGAATATTTCTTTTTTCCTCAGGGAGAGGGAAAGGGAAGAACAAATTAAGAGCAGCTTATTTAGTAAAGTTTGAATGCAGAAATAATTGAGATGTTTTATGTACCTGTAAGAGCTTAACAAATTTACCTCTTTTCCATTTTGATACTGTAAATTTCATCACAAATTGCTTGTAAATATGAACATCTCTGTTTTGGCCATCGTGACATCAGTTGTTTCACAGTAGCATCAAAAGCTTGTCTATCTCCATAAAACTAAGAAAAAGAAAATTGACAAGGAACTATGATACAGTCTTACATTCTCTCACGAAGGAAATACTTCTGATTGGATTCAGTCTTCTGAGCATCGTGTAATGTCAATGCTCCTTAATTAAACAGGTTTCAAACAAAATTCATATAAACGTGCAACTTGATTTTTTAAACTTTTTTTTAAAGAAAACGTATTAAGAACTTAGTGAACAGTTTCTTAATACATACTTTAGCAATAAAAAGGCATAAGCAATGAAAGGGGCACTCAGTTTCACAATGCTGGATAGAATATAAGAACTGTGGTCTAAGGGTGGTCAAAAGTGGATGATGCAGGCTGATCATGTGCTTTTTTTTTTTTTTTAAGTAAAAGGTGATAAACTATCTCCATGATTTGGACAAACTGGATGAACTTAAGTATTTTGAAAATATATTCAGATGTTTTACTGTGATCTGATTACCAGACAAGCCCTGCTTCAGAGCAGTAGATGAATGGTATGAAAGTACTAAATCCACTTCCAGGCAGGATGCCGTTCTTGAGTTTGGTTTTTTTGGGGGATGGGGAGAGGCATTTCTCTCTCTAGTAAGAACTTCTGCCTTTAAAACTACTGCTGTCATAGAAGGAAAGAAAAGAGCTTTGTCTTCGCTCCCCCTCCCCCCAAGCAGTTTCTAAGTTGTTAAGAGGTGTCAACGTAATACTTATACATCCCCTTTTTATCTTGGCTTCACTAAGAGATGTTTCAGCTACTGTACTTGGAACAATTGCATCTGTATTTTGGATCCTCCTTCATTAACAGCTTCAAGGAACATCTTTGTTGAAACTGCTGTTAATGCTTCTTGGTTTCTCAAAATGAACAGTGAGACTTAATTTCAGTTAACTATTCTTGGGGAAAAAAAAACCCCAGAGCTTTGGATTAGGACTTCCTAATGGTGTCTTGTGTAACAGGTGTTTGACAAAAAGATTTTTCTAGCCTCAGTCAAGCTCCTTGGGTAAAAAAAAATCCTTTCAAGTTTTAAAACCTAATTGAAACTCCTTGAAGGAGAAAAACTACACTGTAAATTTTACATTCCACTTCATTAGGAACAGAATTTATCATCTATTATTCAATTAGAGTTTTAACGACAATACTTGATTGCTTACCTCTAATGATAAGAAGTGTATCACAGTTGCTTTTGGCAGATCTACCTGTAAAAATATCATCAAGAAACCAATACTTAACAGTTCTTCTGTTATCAGTTTGCCAACTAGAGATTAGCTATACTGAAAGGAGTCAGACTTTTTGATTTCCAAAGAAGCACTCGTGCTGACAGAATTGGGAATTTGCCAAGGTTTTAAGCATTTTAAACAAACTGTTCATGACAGATTCTGTTATGGAAAGTTCCAAACAGGCGTAGGCAAATAGGCAGTATGTTTCCTGAAAAGCATATACCATTTTAAAGTCCTTTGTGACATGGTCAGCAAAGTCTAAAAGCTATATACAAACAAAAGCTATGTTGGTTTAAATGTAAATGCAAATCTAGCAGAACAAGTTACCAGATCTACAGTAGTTAGCATAAGTACAGCTTAAGAATTTACAACTAAATACTTGTTAGGTTTTGTTCTATGCAACTCTCCAGTACACACAGTTTGAGATACTTTTCAAGTATTAAGGAACCATGCCATAGGTCTTATTTAATCAGAAGTTTGGTTCATTTGGTATCTCTAAAGTAAGGCTATTGGCAGTAGTTTGTTCCAGATAGCAACTGCATCATCCAATTCAATTAAGAGATTTGAAATTAATTCAGGCTTCTGCCAAATACTTACTGCTAAAATCTCGATCTCACTTGTTTTCTGTTGCAGGCTAGAAATGAATGTCTGAAGTCTTGTTTGCACCTGGCAACAAAAGATGGGCAAATGTAAAATACACTGCTTCTGTGACACAGGTTAGGAGCATGTATTTTCTACTTCATAGATGATGAGAACAGAAGAGGCTGCTTCTAACACAAGATGTAGAACTACATCATATTAAAACTAAAATTCACATTTAATAGAATTTTCAGTAACAATTCCACAATAATTCTTGATGAGGAGACAGGGTCTAAGCCACTCTTGCAGGAATGATAAAGACTTGCTAATACTGGTACTGTACTAAAGCAGATAGAACTGCATGTTACAATGTTAATTCTCACATATGTAGTAAAAACTACCTTTCTGTTTCTGGGTGTTAGGTAACTTTTCAGAGGAACCTGAGAATCTGTGACTGGATACAGTGAATCATCTTTAGCTGAAGAAGGATGACTGATTTGAAAGCCAAACCAAAGTACAGGTCATGCCTTGTAACACTTTTTTGCAGAGCAAGCTAGTAATCCTGCAAAGGTAGCACTTTACAAATGTAGTTGCAGCCTTGTGCTATGTTGTCTTTTGTATCTTGCAAAGATGCTTTTATATATTAAAAACCTGAAAACAGCAAGTCTGTTTAGCTCAACGCTCAGAGAATAACATCCAGTTCTTTATTTGGGTTCTGAGAACTATTTATAGGCAGGAATTTTTTGTTGCACACCCAAATTGGGACTGAAAAGGGGTAAGATTACAGTTCTGTTTTACCATGTACTCGTAAGTATCTTGAAGCCAATAACCCTAAATGAGCAAACTCTGACATCTGTTGCTAGCATAATTTAATCTTTTCTACATTATTGTAATATCACATTTTAGGCAGGGTTGTGGGTTTTTTTGTTGTTGGGGTTTTTGGTGTTTTTTAAATCTGCAATTTTTTCTTAGGCCCTTAGTTTGAGACAACATAATGAAATACATAGAGTATCTGTTACAAACATATTACAAATTAAAAGCATGCTGAACTTGCACCTTTAACACACTTCAGCATTTATATAAAAAAAGGAAAATTTCAGAACCACAGTCCCTACTAAAATAAGATTTCTAATATGTATGTACAATGATGGCTGAGCCACAATGTCACAGATAATTCCCAAGATCCAAAGTGTTAAAAAACACGTAGTCTTTGCCTTCAAACTTTTGTGTTGTTCATCGTCTGTTTTATGAATAAAGAACAAACAGGATGTATTTGTGTAAGCTAGGTGATAGTGAAAATATGAATTCTACCATTCCTTCACTTTTAAGGATCACTTCTTAATACTTATTTGATGTGTGTGTACCTGAATTTCTTGACGACGCCTAGCACTGGCAGATAATTTTTCAGGAGCTATAACACTAACATTGGGCACAAGAGTTCCATGTGATTCAAATACACCTGAAATGCAAACATATAGTTTTAGATTATATTCTTGCTTTATACAAGAAGTAGCAAGAGACAAAATTTACAAATATTAATAAGCTAAGATCTGTATAGTGTACGTTTTGAAAAGCTGCAAACCCCCCCCCAGAGTCAGTCAAGTAAATAGGATAGTGAAAACGTGCATGTAAATTCTCAAACGCTCACTTATGACTTTGAAGGACTGGTTGGTAAGACTAAGAAATTTGGTATTTTACATCAGTGTTCCCTGAAACTAATAGAGGAATGTAGCATACCTAACACCAAAAAAAGAAAAGCTGTTACAAGAATGAGGCAACTATTTAATGCACTGTCCCTTAGCAGAGTTAATGACAAAACAAACAATAAACCCAGCTCCCCCAAATAACAATAAATTTTGAAATGGCTTATTTTGACATCCAAATTGCCACTTCTGGTAAGCACACACACACAAAAAACCCAAACCAAGTTAAGCATGGCCACCTCTCTCCCTCACTGTTATGCAAGGGCGGGGGGGGTGGGGTGGGCAGGATGTGTTTCTTTAAAAACAACCACCACCACCACTACACACTGTATCAGTACCTAATAAAATAATTACCAAAAATGCCAAACTTTATCCACACAACAAGTACTTAATATTATTCTTTATATGCAAACTTCTATTATCAGACTAAGGAGTGCAAATCTGTAGCTAGAAATGTAAAGGCATTTTCATTTGAAGAAAGAAAATCTTAGTAGAACAGTAGGTCAATGTACATGGGTCACAACACTGTAACAATCACAGGTTATTTTTCATCAAGATGACATTTAATTTCTCCTCAGCTAGGAAATGTTCATGGTTTTTGTTTTTTTTTCCCCATCCTGAATCACTGCATCAATGAATGCTTGTATGGGGAATACTCTGTCTGTTGGTCTGAGCACTCATTTTGTTAGTTTGGAGAAAGTTTCAGTTTTAGATCACTTGGAACAAGATTTGAGATTAGGAGGAAACGTCTCTAACCATAGGCAATGCTAGAAAACATTTTCTTTCTCTGACTCTGGTAATGCTTTTAAAATTTATGTTCCAGCAATATTTTCTATAAAACAGTTTTTAAGCAGAAAGAGAAACGGTTTGTATATTCTATAACTGCAAATTAAATACCTGAAATATTAGTAAATGATCCCTTTTGATTTGGTACTGAAAGATTATCTGAGGTTTCTCTAAAAATAAACAGACAGTTAGGGAAACAAATTTACAGTAACAAAGAAATACTGTAATAAGACATGGTTTCAGATTATCATACACACTTATTTCATTCCAACAGATAAAGAAATTTATGGATACTTCCCAGCACATATCTGCAGATTAAATTATATTCTGGAACAGACAGGAAATCATACAACATTACATTACAAAATCAGATCTAGAAGCAATCTTTGTGTGTCCTACGGATAAAAAAAAAAAACAACAATGCGCTCCCCATCACACAAGAGTGATTTAGATCCTAATACTAGAAGATATTATGAGAATATTCTCTCTAAATTACTAATTTAATCTACAACTTCTTACAGGTTTCTGTGAGATAATACTAAAGTATCAAAGTAACATTTATACTTAAGATCACACCTACTCAAAGAAGCTTTCAATAATTAGTTTGGATCCCTTTACTTTCCACATTCAGGATTCATTAACAAATAAATCTGCCGGTGTTAATACAATCATAGTTATTGCATTTCTCTGTTTAGTATTACCAAATACAGGTTTTTCTATAATCTGTTCTCAGGATCTAAAAATAAGGTAACTTTTAGAAAGAATGATTTTCTTTCACAGCTTCTGGTAGATCCTGTAGATTTGTCACAAAAGACATGAAAATCAGGTTAGTTGCAAAGTTAAATGCCAAGACTGGCTGAGGCCAGAAAAAGGAGAAGGAAGAAAAAAAGGGTAGCAGAAGTCAACCACCTGCACAAACTACTGCACTTCCCAGCTTAACTATTTCCTTTATTGTTAACTCTTTTCAGAAATACTACAGATGTCAAGTCTGTTAGTTTCTGAACTCTAGTTTGTGTGACTAAACCATGTCTGTTCCTGCTTCCAGTACATGTATACATATGTACACACATATAAATATATATAGACGTGTGTATAATTATACGTTTACAAAGGGATATGTGTGAATAACAGCTACTGCACACAGGTGTGACTGTAGCCTCTCCTGTGGTGTCTGTACTAACTTCTGTTAGTGACAATAAATAGTAATTTCAACAAAGACAGGATGATGCGGTGTTGCTGTGTATCCCGAGTCTTTGCCAGCTGTTACTTTCATTTGTGCCAGCCAAAGTGTACATACAGGTGTGCTACAATTACACCTTCATTTTTACCGTATCAATACTGCCTCAGAATGAAAGGGATTTACTGCTTTAATTCTTTGATTACACAGTACATCAATGTAATGAACTTCTGGTCAGTATCAGGGACTTGCAGGCAGTCCTGCCATACAAACAATACTGGTGTTCTAGTAGCATTTGAGCTGGATAACCACATAGTCTCTTAATTTATGAAGCACTATGGATGTTTGAATGTAACAGCAGCTAGGGAAATCAGTCTCTTAGTCTCAATAAAATTCTATAACCAAGCCCTTTGCTTTCTTTTCCCCTCAAAAGGGGATTCAGCAAAGCTCTTACTCTTTATCAAATAAAATCAAGATTTAACTAAGCATGTCTTAAAATTATTTCATTAAAACAAACATACATTCACTTCTGATTTTGACTATTCATGTTGACATGTTACGCTACTTACCTACTACATCTTTCGTCACAGATTTTAATTTTCAGTTTCTGGATCAGGTGATCTATTAAGTCAGATTCTAAAATCCTTTTCTCCGTCTGTCTGTCTTTCTCAAAGGATTTCACCTATGATGTAGTTCAGTGGTTCTTAAGATTGTTGATTCTTAAAATGGCATATGAATAAACTTATCAAATTTGATCAAAACCAAACTGGATTATTCACCCGTTAAAGGTGAAGCAGTCAAAGGTAGGAAGCTATCATCACTACTGATCAATCACTGCCAATTAAATCTTTGATTAGATTTTTTTTTTTTTTCAACCAGCTAATTTCTTCTGCATTCCAAAGCTTAAACTAGCTTGGCTACTTGTATTTAATATATGATAATTAATTTTTTAACAGAATGGTTTATAGGTGCAAATACCATATTAATAATAGCTTATTTGGTTTGGGGCTTGCTTTTTTTTTAAAGTTAAGGAACTGTGTTAGAATAAGGCTTGCCTTTCAGTTTGCAAAAGTTAGACTCAAACATTCAAAACTTAGAACATCTGCTCCATCTTTACTGGGAAGAGATTAATCAGTAACAACACTATTCACCTCATTAGCATGTTCTTTGTTGGTTTCGCTTCAATAAAGCATGTTTAAAAGAACGCTCTGTAATAGTCTTGTGAAAGACATTGATATATCGCATTCTCATCATCCAAATCTACTTGTTCATACAGCTATTGCAGTGATTTGCTATCTGTGTTACAATGACAAGGAAAGTGAGTAACAAGTGAAAAACATTTCAGTAATGCACATTGGCTAGGTAACATGGCCATGCTAGATGCTGTCAAATGGTTACTTTTTTCCAAAGAATAAATATTTATTCAACGAATAATGATCTTTTGCCTTATGATCCAGAATCAAGAATATTTTAAAACTTCTAACTTCTAAAAAGGTACCAGAACCACAGGCTGCAGAGCACAGAAGGTGGTAATTCATGTTGTGACACAGCCTAGTATTTAAATCTTAAGCTTAGCTTACTTACAGAGATGAGTGTGGTTCAGACTCTGCCTGTTTGAACTACGTGGATTTTTTTAGATTTATGTTTTAGTTATATTTGTTTTGTAATATGGAAAGCTGCCAACTGGAAAGATCACAGAGTCAACTAATTCCTTTCGTAGATTCAAAGAAATCAGAGACAACAGAAACCTTTTTCCATGTAAAGACACCAATCACTCAAAGTCAAGCAATGTTTGCACTAATTCCTGGACTACTCCTAGAGGAAAGGAGGTCTGTAAATAACAGTGTTACAGAGGGATAAAAAGGAGGCTGCTTCTTCAGAACTTTCTACTACTTAGCAACTGAAACTGTATTTACCTGAATTCCATCTACTTAAATACTTCATTAAAAATAATCATGATCTTAAAAAACAAAGACATATAGAACAACAGATTATAAATCTGAAACACCATCAAGCATCCTCTCATCCCACACTTACCTTCACATGACTTCCTTCTTTATCTGACACAAGAGCCACATATGTAATCCCAGAGCATCTGCAATATTCCTGCAGTTCTTCCTGGGACTAAAATGGAACAGAGGAAGGGCAATGGGACAGAAATTTGACAGATTATAAAAAGATGACTTAAGTAATCAAAGTCTCCTGCCCTTAATTAAAATAACTCGATATGCAGCAGTTACAATGATTATATAAGTTTCTGAGATAACTTTATTAACAAGTCCAGGAGGTAAAACTTCATTATGCATGTATTTATCCACCCAATGCTCCTTAAAAATTGAAATCTAGGTCTACACTAGACAGAGAGAATGCTTAGGCCCTGCAGTCCTAGTTCCCACATGGAAGGGCTGGCTGGATCTAGAAGTGCAGGGTCTACATAACTGTAAAAATGTGCAATGTAACATCCATCAAACAGTTACCACCCCACTGTCTGCAACTTTCAGTAATAGCTCAGTCCTGCATGACTGGTACTCTTGTCATGAAAGCTGACTCCAGCTGGGTTTCATGTAAACCTGAGGCTGACTTGCATCATTCTCAGTGCTGAGCTTACTGAAGGGCTTGCTATGCTGACTTAGCAGTGGGTTGCAGGACAGCTTTACACAGAGGTAAGAACCACCCAA